TGACTTCAATCACCAGGCCAGGGTAAGAGTTAAAATTTAGGGTTAAAGTTTACCATTGTCATCTACAATCTCACTGCGCAAAAGTATCACATATCGACAATCCTATCCATGCAATTGACAAGAAATGTATCAGACGTATCACCATGAACCTATTGCCTAATAGTAGAGCATCGATAGTAGTAATCAGATGGGCGTAAATTACCAGGCTTGAAATATACAAGCTTCACTTCCGTCATCATTGCACACTGAACAGGACATATCGACATTCCTATCGTCGCAGTATGGTGAACGTTTGTAACTATGTATCTAGTTATACCGCCTAGATTGCCACGAGTCTGCTCTAGCTCAGTGGTAGAGCGTCCGAACTACTGATCGGATGGTGACAGGTTTGAGTCTTATTGATAGCATTCCGACTTTTTTTTCTACGAGAATGCCTTTGTCATTTACTTGATAAAGGTATAGAGGTAGAGCGTCTGAACTCTGAGTATTAATTAGAGCTTCTGTTAGCACACAGATCGTTTTTGTCTCCGAGTATGTCTGTGTGATTCACAGAACAACACCTTACCTCATTTCAATCACCAGGCTTAAAATTTACGGGATAAAATCACACGACGACATTACTATACTCGCAGAATGAAGAAAGGTTGTCACGATGGACTTAGTTTAACGGCCTAGCTTGGCGCGAATCCTTTACAGCTTAATGGTAGAGCGTCCGAAGTCCTAATGAGAATGTCGTGGGTTGGGCTCTTATGGTGGCACTCGGACTTTTTTTCCCCGTGTATGCCTGTCATTTACTAAATAGCACCTTCATTGACATACATTGTTTCTTTGTGAGAGCTCTTAGGATAATCTCCATTGAAGAAATTGAAGAGATTTTATATCTCAGGGATTTGACGCTTTAACGTCTTTAGTGGTGACGTATGGTTTGACTTGTTAAACAACTTACGTTGAAATTGAAAGGTCAACAAGGTAACGATGGATCATTTTTTTATTACAAAAGGAATGAAAGGAACTCCAAGTCTTTCCCAATGGCTAATTGACGTAAGTAACAGTCTTATCACGTTTTGGGCCACTAAGGTCAACATGTCCTTTCAGCCCTTCATTTTTTGTATTCCTCTGAGATATGAAAATGAAGTCGTTTCTTGAAAAGAGGAAGATGAAGGACCCAGGATATTTTAACCTAGTCGGTGGAATAAAAGAATTCAAAAGAAACATCAACAAAGGACTTATCAGCTACAACGTTTCAGGTCTATGTAAGGTGATATGTCGAGAGGGGATCAGTTCATAGTCTCCTGGATATGCGCTTACCAACAAATAAGCTAATTTATTCGTTTCAGAGTCTACCAAAGGGGTCCAGCGTAGGAGTTGATCCTTTTCTTATTTCCATATGTAAGTTTCCTTTGTTTTTGATGTTTTACACAATATTTGTACGTAAGAAAAGGCATTGTTTTCGTTTAGAGCGGGGGACTTCCACTTTACAACACGAGCAAATTATCACAAACCAGTATGATAGAACAAATGAGAGGGCTTATCTAGATTTTAATCTTCGAAGAATTACATTTATTTTTTTGCCCCACTTCACTCTCATGACAAGAGAAGCAACGTCCATAGCCATTCCATGATCAAGCTCAAAATTTATAATTTTCGCCAGTCTACTTAGTATTCTCACTAATTAGTGTGTGTGTCAAGCTTTATTGGGCAAGATCAAAATGAAAATAAACAAGCATAAAGAATTAAGTCCCAAAAGGGATGGACACGAACGGGACACCCAGACCCATGCGGGGTGCCAACCCTTGGTAAATATAATAACTTAAAATATTCACAAGACAAAAAAACTAATAAAATCTAGTTTAGTGAGAGGAAAATCTAACTGTACAACATTGTCGTCAAAAAGTAGAGAAATCTAAAGGAAATGAAAAATTAAATACAAACATATGTATATTTATACATATATATATTCAGTTAGTGACATGAAAATTCGCGTGATATGGACCATGAGCAAACCATGTCCTCATCAAAAACATTCATAGAAAGAGAAATTCATGAAAAATGATGTGTTGTGAAGTTTTGTATGTGTTGTGAAGTTTTGTAAGTGTTGTGAAGTTTTGTATGTGTTCTGAAGTTTGTTGTATGTGTTGTGAAATTTTGTATGTGTTGTAGAGTGAAAGGGGAAAGTTCTGCAGTTAAAAAAATGTGATATTCATACCTGAAAGTTTAAATCACTTTCTTGTTCCACAGTTTTTCATTCGGTATCTCATCAGAAACTTAGTATACGCTGTACGGAACAGAGAAAATGACCACACTAAAGAAATCCTCTCTGGCTCTGTTACTAAGATATCGCAGTATGTAGGATAATAAAGTCCGTTGCTGAGAGTGTACCAAAATTCCTTAGCTGTTCTCAGGTCTTCGCTTCTAATCCAACTCTTAATTCTCAGAAAATGTTTAAGGCTCGAGTACAATCCCCCACTACATCACCCCACAGAAGGGGTAAATTGACTAACTATACCACGAGTAGCATACAAAGCATGTGTTTTAATTATGTTGAGTTTTACACTACCTACTAACACAAAAAAAGGCTTAAAACTGTATAAAAAAAATCGCTATAAAATGCAAATGTATTCTGCGAGAATCAAGATTCAATTTGCATTCATTGTACCCGGATTTATTAGAAATATAAATTTACGAATCACTTACCGTATCTGTAAAACTCGGCCGGCGGCATGTTAGAAAAGTTGAAACATCTGCTTGAAAAGATTGTTTGTATCTGACAGAAATTATTTCATTCTCAAACCACAAAATTTGTTCTCGCACCACGCAAAACCTTATTTTCCAATCCGCAAAGAAAAACTCCGAAAAATCTTCAATTAACACAGAATTCCAGTATGTATATCACTGTTGCTTTTGTTCCCTTTTCAATAAAGTTTTAGACGGCCATAAAATTGAAGTGAATCGGTATCTTAAGATCGTAATGACAACCACAAATGCCCAGTTTCTAGCCATGAGAGTTAACTAAACATAGATTCGTCATGTTGCGCATTCTCTACTGTCTATTGCTGTAATGACACCATCTTAATTTTTCTCTTGTCCGGTTGAATCCCTACAGGCGAATGGGATCGAATGTTGAAGGTAAAGTTAGATACTATTTTTAATTGACTTAAGATAGCTGAATAATGGGGAGTCCGCGAGACAAACCGCCCATTACCTCCTCTTCCCTCCCTGAAAAAAGGGCAAAACATTCTTCAAAATAAAAACAAAAAACAAAGCAAACCAGAGTGCGACTACAGACAACTTTTACTAAGGGTTAAAGGTAGTTATGATAATCAGGTGTTTTATTACTTTAGTCTAGTCAATAAAAAAGCAAAGCATGATTGCCCCATTCTCTAAGCAAAAAAATAATGATCACTTCTTTCTATCAAGCAACGACTCGCAAAATCAATGAGTGTAGCATAAAGTTTAGCTAAAAAAGTTATTCCTGTTGCCGTTAATTAATTTTTTTGCAGCATTCTGTTAAACCTCTCAGCAGTGTATGTTTCAAAATACTTTTAGATATATCTGAGCCTGTTTTTAGTAACCAAGTGGTGGAGTCTTCACAAGTTTGTTATCGCGGTGACCTTAAAAAAATCGACCACCTCTCTAATAAGGGCACCTCCATCTTTCCCTTCGGCGTCCACATCAGAGAAGCTCGAATTAGTAGTAGGGAAAGGGGGTTTCTGGCACATTTCAAAATACCCTGAAATACAGGGCAGTTTTGAAAACTGATTTTTTTCATTTTTTATCTCATTTAAAAAAAAAGAACGATGTTTTTCAGGCAAAATGATTGGCGCAGTTTCTTTCAAAAAAATAAAAGCAAAATTGAAGATTTGATTCAGTGGGTTTCTGGCACATA